TTTTTTTTGTTTGAATAATTCGTGATAACTTTGAGAGTGGGCATGTGTGAGACTGCACGAGGGTTATAAGATGATAGACAAGCATACCCACACCTTAACTTAAATCCGATTTCATAATTTTAATTAATTACATTCGATTATCTTGTACTAAACCAGAATGAGATTTCAAAATCGACTAAAATTTGAGAAATCGATTAAAATCTCAACTAAACTAAATCTGATTTGGGGATTATCGATTGATTGTCGAGTAATGAATGACAGAACAGGATCCTTGGTGATCAGTTAATTGGTTTTAAGTACTTTTCTTGTATAATATTATGATTTCCAAATACCTATTAAATTCACAGTGACTGAAGAGACAACAACACTCTTGGGTACACGCTAGTCAGATAGTTCAGATGGATCTCTTATATTAATATACCTTTTCATAGGACCATTGGAGAATATAACTTTTTTGTATAGTTAAATAAATAGTAATTGATTAAAACTGATTTGATACTTTTCTCAGAACTCTTCTTCATATAAAGAAACATCTGTATTGAGATTTTCACGCTCAAACAGAACATGGAGATTAGGTGTAGATTATCGTGACTTAAGATATTGCGCAATTCGTCTTTAGTAGCTAAGAGTATATGGAATGGTACCCTTAACTTTTTTCATATACTGTACTCTGAAAAATACAAAAGAGCTTTTCCAAAACCCCACAAAAGGTTCTGTGGAGACCAAAAGCTTTCATTTGTGTCAAAAGTTCCAAAAAAACGAACTTCAAATCGACAGAACCGTCAATAGTTCTGAATTGTATCCCCTAGCCGAACGCTCTTTTACAGAACCTTTCTTTAAGTTCCGTAAAGCACAAAAGGGTTTCGTAGAAAGATCCGAAACCTTCGACGGTTTATATTAAATTCTGCGAAACCATTATGGTTCGGTACGAAACTCTGATGGTTTTGTACTGAACTCTAATGGTTTCACACTAAACCATGATGGCTTGCAGGACATAGTATAAACCTTCGAAAGTCTTGAATCTTTCTACGAAACCCTTTTTTGCTTTACGCATCTCAAAAAAAGGTTCTGTAAAAGAGGGCTCAGCCCAAGGAGGAAAAATCTCATTCTCGTCCATTCGGAATGGCTGAGAATGGATGGAAATGGCTGAGAATGAATGAGAATGGTTAGGAATGAATGCGAATGGCTGCGAATAGATGCGAATGGTTGCGAATGAACGAGAATGGTTGCGAATGAACGAGAATGGAAGGGAATGAATAAGAATGGATGGGAATAGATCGAAATGGCTGAAAACTGTCTGAAGTATATAAAAAAGATTTCATACGTTAGGAAAGCGATTATATAAGTTATATGAATATTTGATAACTGTCATTTTTTATTCCTAATATAGTTACTATTTATATTAGAATAATATATAAAACTGATTACTAATCAATGGGAATTTAATTTAACTTAATTTCAAGTTATAATATTGAAGCTATGCATTGTATAAAAAAAGAGAAGGGCGACAGCTATTTGTAACACTGTGTAAGACATATATTTACATTTTACGGTTGATAAACACAACGTTATCGTTCTCTAAAAAAAATGTATTTATTTATATAAACTATGTAAAAATATATTTTTGAATAAATATTGATAAGCTGATATAGATTAAACTTACACCCTTAATTAGATAAATTGTTTAGTTGTTCGAATATTGTTCACAAAAAAGTTTTTGTTATTTGACTAATACTTTAATATTGTTATAAGAACTTCATATTTAAGTACCAAATAAAATTAGTTTTAGATTTTATATCAATGAATTTTTATTAATCAATTTTTCAGTTACTTTTTATTAATATTCATCATATATAAACATGATTTCAGATATGAATAATAGTGGTTTAATTGAGATTGGCAAAGTTAAATCTAACAATTTCTTCAATTTTATAGAAGAATTGACTAGTTCAATTGAAGTCGAAATTTTAAAAGCTCAAGGAATCAATAATGCTCTTTCTTTGTTACGAGCTCAAGATTTGTACTCTTTTTTTAAAGTGGATTGCAAAAAAATAGAAGATTTAAGAAACCGTGCATGTTTACAATTAACAAATGGTGCATATATGATACGTCCAGCTATTAAAGATAATCTTGATTATTGCATAGCTGTCTTAAAAAGTAAATTAAATGAACAATTACTATATAAATCAGACAACCATAATCAAGATTTAAATGTTACAAACAAGGAACTTACTTATTTTACCAACACTTTCATTAGTAATCTTACTGATAATATGAATCGTTCGAAGTATCGTTTCCAATACAATCCTAATATACGACGATTTGCATCAGCTGTATATAAATTAGGTGGTCGAAATGTTTACCAACTTTTGCAACTAAATTTACCCGGTGCTTTTCCATCTATACCAACACTTGAATCTTATAATAATGAATTCTGTACACGTATTGAAGAAGGTGAATTTCGTTTTAACGAATTAATCAATCATACTAATAAAATTAATTGTTCTTATGTATATGCTTCTGAAGATTGTAGTGGTATTATTACCAAAATTTGTTATGATGCTGATACTAATTCATTTATTGGATTTTGTCCAGAATTAAACTATGGTATTCCATCAATTCGTCAATATCAAACAGATGATTTCCTTGAACTAGAAACCTGGTTTGATACTGTGAAAAAGTCAACATCAGTCAATATTCATACAGTACAACCAATAACACGTGAAAGTTCACCACCATTTTTATTATCAAGTTTTGGCGCTGATAATCAGTTTACTTCGATTTCAGTGCTTTGTCGTTGGTTGTATATTTACGAACAATGTTATTCAAAAAGTCTTGGAGTTGTTGGATTCTCAAGTGATACTGATCCTAGGTTTATGAAAGCTATGAGATTAGCAACAGGTTAGATTAATCATAAAATTAATACTTTCATTTTTTTATTATTTTTTAAGGATATTTCTCACAATTACCAAATGTTAACCTATTGAATCGAAATGATGTTTTTGAAATAGAAATTCCAAATTCATGGACATGGTATTATATGCGTTCAAAACAATTATTTTTTTATTGCCAAGATGGCATTCATCTTGCAACAAAACTGCGTAATCGGTTACTTTCAAAAACTGCTTCATTAGAAATGGGCACTTATCATGTATCAGTCAAGGATCTTCAAAATATTATAGATAATTATTCAAAGTTTGAACACAACTTACGAGGGAACCTCACCAGGTGATACCCTCCGTTTGACTTCATATTCTGCCCATATGTAGGGCTCATATAGTAGATGAAACCCCCAAAAGGGTTCGTGCCATTGCCCTCTTGGCGTTGAGATATTGTGACTCTAAGGTACTGAGATATTTTACTGCCATTGTCCCCCTCAGGGAAGTGCGAAAAACTAATGTTGGAAGTTTGACCTGAAACTTTGTATACAATAAGATCTTACTGAGAATAGTTTCCTGTAAGAGTTTCAGTTTTGCTGAATACTCATAAATCTAAAAAGGCATATCATATGCTAGCTCTTGTAGTGCTAGAAGATGACATTACATTTTCATAGTCGTATCGCCGGATAGAAACAGGGAGTAAGTCTAAGACTTTCACACTAAACTACTCTCAGTAAGACCTCATTGTATACAAAGTTTAAGGTCAAAATTCCAACATTAGTTGTTCGCACTTCCCTGAGGGGGACCACGGCATTAAGATATTTCAGTACCTTATAGTCACAATATCTCAACACTAAGAGGGCAATGGCACGAACCCTTTTGGGGTTTTTATCTACTATATGAGTCCTACATATGGGCAGAATATGAGGTCAAACGGAGGGTATCACCTGGTGAAGTTCCCTCGTTAGTTCTATCTGACATATACGTGAAAGATAGACAAAACTATTCATCATGTTTGAAAATATCATCGTCAAGCATTTTGGATATGTTAAATGAAAATAAAAATTCATATGCAACACATTGTTATTTAACTATTTTACGTTATGTAACTCTATCTTATATTGATAAAACAACAAATATATTAACAAGATTATTTTATGCATGGTCAACCGTTTTTATTAGTAGATTTTGGTTAACATGGTTAAAATATAAACTAATGATTAACACAAAACAAAAATATGGATTAAACTTAATACCAACTTTGAAGAAAATTGAACATCATTTTATGACATTTCCTGCATTTTATTCCATTGAAATAAATGCTCATATGTTAACATATATTTTGTTATTAGTATTAAATAAAAAGCTACCTATTGAATCATTAAATATATTTCTATTTAGCTCACAACCATGTGAGAATATGTTCCGAAGCGTCCGATCATTAACAGGACCATTTTCAACCATGACCAATTTTACTATTCAACAATTCTGGCGAAAACCAGAAAAATATCCATATTGAATGAAATTAAATATTTTGAAGAATCAAATGTTGATTCTAATGCAATTAAATTTCCTACACACCATAAACATAATCGAAACAATTCATCTTCATCAACAACAGTAAACTTACATGATATTACAATAGATAAAATAGAAAAAGTTATTTATGATGCATATGAAAATGCAAAATTATTTGTGGAAAAATTAGAAATGTTACCACTTTTGAAAAAGAATCATGTATTTAAATTAGATGATTTATGCTTAAGTATGCGTAATGATTTAGCAAAAATGATTCATATAAATGAAGATTTCATATTGAACGATGATGATCTTGATTTTGATAGTGAATCAGATGAAGAAACAAACAATGATTCATCAACACTAGATGTAGATAGTGAAGGTGAAGATGAAGATCGTGAAACAGAAACTGAAAATACCAAATCAACTAAAGATGGTTATGAACGTATGAGAATTTATTCTACCAAAGCTGATAAAGATAAAAACAAATTTTTCAAAATTGAAATTTCTGGAAAGGAAAAATATATCCATAAACAGACAGCTATTTGATACTTAACTAATAAAACTAATAAACTATCATCAGATCGAAATGTACGCGTTCAGCAAATGAATAAACAAAAATAAAAACATTTTTTTAAATAAAAGCTTTTGTTGTTTTGAAAAAATTAGTTGTTTTATTCAGGATGAACTCTATATTTATATTGAATTTATCAAGATTATAGAGTTGTAGAAGATTCCTGAGCATGCTGGAAATCTTATCTATATTAACTTAGATTCAAAATAATGGTGCTCATCTTAATTCGAAATACACATCCGCTTAGAAACGCTGTTCATTTTCTGTTGATCAAGTAAGTATTCTGTCTTGCTTTCTGATAAATCTTATTGAGACAAAATCTTGTCAACTACGATTGATGTATTCTATTTAAACCGATATAAAGTTTTTCAATCTGAATGTCACTTATAATAAGAGAAAAAGATGTCAGAAAATTTAACATCAGTCATTTCATTGACTAAAAGTTACTATTTTTTATTAGAATATAAGAATACTTCAATGTAAAAAAAATAGAAATGGTTTTTTTGGTATGCTATACTAGATTAACATTACTAACATTCTGTCCTCTATTATTAGTATATAATATCCATTATTTTTCAATGTAGTAGTACTACTTGAATGGATTGCAATAGCAACTAATATGTATGATTATATCAGTATTATTTAGAATAACTCAACATATTTAAATGAGCTTTTTCTCACTTGTGTCAATCTTTTACATGTTTGTAATTTTTTTTTTTTTTATTTGCAAAAAACTGCGATCAATCGATCCTAACAGTACATGAGAATATGAAAGAGAAAGAAAAAAACACAGAATAGAAAATATGATAAACGACTCGACATGAAAGACAAAATGAAGGTGTGAGAGATCAAAACTGGTAGAAAGGAACAGATAAAAACATCATACCACAAAGATTAACAAAACGAATCAGGAAAATCAGACACTTTAAAGCAGGTAAACAACTAGATTCATTGTCGCGATTAAGATCATTCCAGTTTCTTCCTAACTTGAACATTCTTCATTTGCATAAGGTAACGCTCTATTTTACCTTTTAAATCAGTATCCAATGTATTACCCTTCTTATCTTGATTCAAAGATGAAATAAATGTAAATACATCTTGAAATATAGGTATCGATAACTTCATAAATAAATTTTCATGTCGATCAATAAATAAACCATAATGAGTAACTTCTTTTTCCAGATTTAATTGATGCTTAGAAAGTTCCTCCAAATTTTGTTTGATAAGATTATCACCTTCTTGTTTAGCAATAATGAATTGTTCGATTGTGTTTTGTTTAGCTTCAAAACTAATAAGTTGGTTCTTCATTTCAGACATAGTGTTCATTAATTCATCAAGTTTTTTCATCATAGGATTAATCATAGGATTAATTGTTGAATTAATTGTTGAATTAATTGCTGATGCATAAGAAACAGGAGGCGGTGTAAAGTTCGACGACTTGTATACATAATTTTGCATAATATTATTAATATTAACTGTAGCTGCAGGTGGATTATTTATATATAATAGTTTACGAGTCAGTTCTGCACGATAAGCTTTAACAACAGGACATTTAAGAGAACTAGATTTGTGGTTCAATTGACAATGTATACATTTTTCTATCTTCGAACATATATGATTCTTCATATCATCGACAACTTCGCTGCATGTACGACAAGTTTCTTTGGTTTGTGAACATTGTTTTTGAAAATGACCAAGTGCCATACATTTGGAGCAGATAAGTACATGAGCAGGAGCTAAGAATTCTGCCACAACATAAGAAATGTGGTTAATAAGAATTCGACGATCATTTAATAGTTTATCACGAACATTTGGACATGTTAATTCTAATTTAACCATTTTTATATCATTTTGAAATTTATTTTTTAAACGTACTATATTTTTAACTTCAGGAAATTTATCATGAATAGCTTCACAAAATTCATCATAATTGATATGTAAATCAACATTCTTGATTATACAACATAATTGAGGAGGAATTGAAGGTAACGAAGATAAAATATATGATTCATTACCCAATAACTTTGGCCAATGTTCATGATTTAAAATAAAAGCAAATGATATAACATCTTTAACATAAATAAGAATATTATATTGATTAATGTTGCAACTTTGTCTAATTAAACGACAATTCAAAATATGAATATCAATTTGATGAACTAATTCATCTTTAACTTGATTAACAGTAACCTTTCCAGATTTAAACTGTACAATAAAAGGTGAAAATGGAAAACGAGTTAAAGCATAACGAGTTGATTCATTTCTAACCGAGAATCTATGAGTTAATAATGGATTAGAATTAACATTATCAGCATTAACATTATAATTATCACTTCCAGAACGTTGTTGATTAACAGAATTAACACGTGCAATAGGTGAATTAATAATAACATGATTATTTTGATCAGTAACTTGCTTTAAACCACGATTAGAACTTTTTTTATATGATACTTTATTAAAATCATCAGCGACATCTATAGAGAGAGGACGCCGAACTGATGGCGTAGAAGAATTCATAAGATTAGAACCCATTGTTGATGAATGATTAACTAATGATTGTTCAGCAACTTCTCCATCATTAAAAAGATTAGAGTTTGAATTAGAAGTCATTATAATGACTTAAAATTCGAAAAAAAAGAGGAATAAATAACCAAATAACTACTCCTCTTAATTACGCTAACACGTGAACAAAGAAATTAAGAGAAGTATAAAGAAAAAAAAAGTATAATATCGTGTGAAGGAAAGAAAACGATGCGACTTATCAGTAGCTACGTAAACAGCGGAATGACATATTTGTAATTGTCCACTGCATTATGTCAAGACAAATAGAATCTACTGATTCTTAAGACATTTGATACTATCATTTCTGAAATATGTATTAACTCAGTTCAAAATTTATCTAAATCGATTCAATAGCAAATTAATCATCTAAAGAGCAAAACAACTTTTAATCGCTCATATCTAATTTTAAAAATTCTGAATATATAACAGTAATTCGGAATGGATGAGAATGGATGGGAATGGAAGGGAATGGATCCGAATGCCCGAATGAGATTTTCCCCCCTTGGTTCAGCCCGAGGATACAATTCGGAATCATTCACGGTTCTGTCGATATTGATGTTCGTTTTTTTTGGAACTTATGACACAAATGGAAGCTTTTGATCCTCCACAGAATCTTTTGTGGGGTTCGGGAAAGCTCTTTTATTTTTTTCAGAGTAGAAGTTACTGAAAGTCTTTTTCACGTAGCACTTATGAAAGGTTAGGTAATTAATATGATCCACTTAAAATTTTATTATATACAATTTTTCGATTGGTCAAAGATTATAGGTTTACTTTCAAAGTATATTATATCTTGACAGTGAAGCATTTGTATATAATAAAACGTTGAGTGGGTCATATTAATTAGCTTACGTTCCACAAATGATACGTGAAAAAGACTTTCAGCAACTTCTATATTTTATGAAAAATATCAAGGGTAACATTCCATATAATCTTAGCTACTTAAGACGAATTGCGGAATATCGTAAGTCACGATAACCTACACCTAATCTGCATATTCTGTTTGAGCAAGAGAATCTCAATACATATGCTTCTTTATACAGAGAAGAATTTCGAGATGAATAACCACATCAGTATTTTGTTCAACGGAATTGAATAGACTGAGAATTAAGATTTTGATTGAAATCAAGCAAAAGTTGAGTTTTTATGTTGATTGAAATCGATTAGAAATCAGTTATAATCGGATTTTTCGTTAATTTTAATCGAACAAAAATTGATTATAATTTCATTACAATCGATTATAATTCGATTTTAATCAGCAAATAACTGGATTTTAATCGATTTTAATTTTGATTTTGTTGCAGAAAAATCAGATTTGTGATTATGATTATTCTTATAGGATTTTGAAATTTTAATTAATTTTAATCAAGTAAATTTTTCACTAGGAAGCTTGAATATTTATTAGATACATAGTTCTGTGAAAAGTGTTTTTGTATTGACAGTATATTGGTATACATATTTAAACAAAAGAAACTTCTGTTTGATTATGAATCTCTTTTATAATATTATCCATTATACTGAACTAAGACTGATTAGCAATGATTAATGGTGATTAATAATGATTAACAGTCATTAGGAGTGATTATGAGTGATTAGGGATGATTAAGAGTGATGAGCGGTTTCCTAACGAGCTGTTTCCCCCTTGGATATATTCCTAGTAAATCTCAACTATTTACTCAAAATTGATTTATCGTTTCAAGATTATATCTGAGGATATGATATTTATATTGATACTATACAATAAAGAAAGACAAAAATTAAATAAAACAATATACTTACTGTTAAAAAAATCATGAAAAGATTGCTATATTTAAACTTTCAATAAAAATAGTAGAAGTTAAACATATTAATCATTTCTTTGCAATACTCTTTTCTCATATATTTATATGAGAAAATTAGTAATCAACAGTGACATGAGTTCTTGTATCTTTGTGTACGAAGTGTATTTAGATAGTTCTGTAGAATCGACATACAACTTCCAGTAAAAACCAAAATACTATAGTATAGCGGAGTAAGTTGAAGTTCAAAAAATCTTTAGTTTAAATGATAAAAACAAAATAAAAACTTTATTTTACTCATAGACTATATAGTTAGAAATAATGAGCTCGTAGTAGATTCAATTGTACATTGTTATCCTCGCTTGGTATATGACTTTGTAATTGTTTTTATGCTTTGAACAGTAATACATAAAGACTAATGTCTCAGCTAGCATTCTACAATATTTTTCTACTCCTCATGGAGGTTTTAAGACAGTAATAAATTATGAATTCTATTCATTGACATACTACCTTACAATTATTTGGTGAATAGAAAAATCTATCAACTTAACAGATAAATGACAGTTAGCTTTTAAAAAGATATTCAGTCTTTGTTTACTTTTGAATGATCTTTCTCTGTTATGTTAATCGTAGTATAGTTATTTTTGCAACAAAATTGGGCATAACAATTTCTATAATGTATAATATTCTAATCGAAAAAAACTACTTGTAATTTAAATATTTTTCAACTATGATTCAAATGTGAGTTCTGAACAACATGATCTTATACCCATCGTTCCAACACAATTACTATTCAAATCCTTTTTATTAATCTTTTAGTAACTCGCTTTTTTAAGTGTCTATCAAAATATTACTTCGTTCAATAAAAAATATCATTTATTGATATGCAGAAACAATTTATCATTACCCTATTTTCCTAGATTTAGTTTTCATTAAAATATATTTGTTAGTTAATAGCTCCATATTTAACTTCAATCTTTATTTATTTTTGGTTGTTATTCAAGCAAGAAAATATATCGAAAGCAACCTTTTAATAAAGTAGAAAATGAATACGCATATTTAATTCAAAAAATAAAGTGGAAGATGAAGCCGCATATTT